GGGGGGGGGGGGGGGTGTTAGGTAAAGTTAGGTTAGGTCATTTAAAGTATGTATTAATGTTAATTAAAATATTTGTAATGCACATATAAAATGCATAGTTGAAATATTTTCAACTAACATAACCTGACCTAACTGCCCCCCAAAATCAGTTTTTGCAGGAAACTCAAGTCAGGCTGTGTTACTTCAAATATTTTCAACTGACATAATGTGACCTAACCTAACTGCCCCCCCCACCCAAATTCAGTCTCAGCAGAAACAGTGCCAGTGTTAATTCACATTTCAATTCAAATGAACAGTTTAATTTGTACCTGCATAGAGAATAAAATCGGACCAGTGGCAAGGCTGAGGATTGCGTACCTCACCAGCAGCACAGCAGGGCTGTTGGAGGATTGGAGTGCACAAGGGCTGAGCGTACATGAAAGGGAGTACCCACTGTTTTTTGTAGATGGAGCTAGCAGTCTGGTTCGCCCGAAGTGGGAAAGCTCCGAAACTTGTTCAAAAAAAACAATTGAAAACTCGTTGAATACAGGTTTGACAAATCTTTTAATTCAATTTTAGGTATTCTTATTTTTAAAATACTTCAGTTTTGGGGTGACTGAAAATGGCGTACGCGTGTTTCTTGGGAATAAAATTCTATCATCATTTCGGACTGAACTGAACAACCCTGGTCTTCCTGGAGGGCGCGTGGTACTTGGTATGTTTTACGTGGGGAAAAAATTAATCAGTAGAAGCCACACAATCAAGAGCAGGAACGCAGGTTCTAATGCAGATGACCAACCAAAATTACCCCGACTGCGGTGGATGACGAAACATGTTCATAGTCGTGCATAGCATTTCCTTTTCGAGATATAGTAAGCTCTGAATCGTGACAAACGTCGCATACTATTCGCACAGGCACTTGTTCGAGGAACTTGGTTCTGTTACGAATAACCGCCAGGACAAACTAAAAAAAAAAGAAGGAAGGCCAAAAAAAAAAACGGAAACTCATCGAACTTAGACGGTTGATGATCACGACACAAGGGCATCATCTTCCAGGGATAATCGGAATCTGGCAGGGACTAAGCATTCAAGAACATACACCTTTCCCAACTCCACGATGCTCTTGCACAACAAAACATGACAACCGTACCCACAAATTCGATCAAGAAAACTCACCAGCATCATTTTCTTCGCGAGAAATTCAGAGTAGTGTTCAATCGCGTGTTCGCATTGCACTTTTCAATAACATGGGTAACACTCTTCTCCTGGAATGAAGAAAAAAAAAATATCGGAGTCTCGCTTGGCAGAAAATCACCGGACAAGACCGGAGAGAAGAGAATTCGACAGCCAAGTCACTTGCCCAAACATGATTGCCGCAAGTCCAAGACAAGAAAGAACTGACAGTTGACAACATTCAAGAAACCATACAAGAGCTGGAATGCTGGGCCTAGAGGAGGCGGTGATGACCAACGCGTACAAAAAGTGTACAAACACAAGAAAAAAAAACCTTGTACTTGGCACAACCACCGCCACCTGGTGGGCCTTCGGAAAAACAAAAATCTACGGCGAAAACCGAGATCCTGCGGGTGTAACCGAGATCTAGCCTTCAATGCCATTCCGCCTTCGTCAAAAAAGGCTTTATTCCACCTCCCACCCCCTCCATAATACAAACTAGTGCGCCTCAACGGCCTGAAATCTGAAGCCTTCAGGTTGCCAACAATCCACAACTAGAGGAACAAGGAGTGCTCAACTAAGTCACCAGGATCAATGGACTCACCATAAAATAGACAATCTGGTGCTTCTCTCCAATCATTCCGCAACTGTTGTTCAAATCCGACTGTTTATGCAAATAACCGACATCACCAGCGAAACAAAGCTACCCTAATAGCCCCATGCCTGCGTTTGGAAATGAACGACATCACCATCGAACCGAAACTAACTAACCTAGCCCCATGTCTTTCGGACAGTAGCAAGGAATTCGAACGGAGAACCGGAACTTCACACCCATGTCCTCGAGGATACAAATTAGGTCACGTTCCCGTCAAGGCCTGACACAAGAACTCAGACAACCAAAACACAGCCTGGAAAGTATTGGCTATTTCCTTCTCCCAGGACGCACAAAAACTTCGTTTTCAAATTTGTTTTTTAGGAACAGCACGGCGTGTACGAGCGATAACTTCTACATAACACTGAAAAAAAAAAAACAGCAGCATGAAAATTTCAGCTTCAAACACCCTCAGCAACTGACCTTACTGTTCCTTCAGAAAAAGTTGCCCAAAAAGGGCAAATTATCCAAGTTGACGTTAAAAAAAAAAAGAAAAAACTCCGGCAAACCCCCTTCCCACGCTGAAAGCTCAAACACCGGAACAACGGCACATAATTGCAAGCCAACACACAACACCAAAAAAAGGGGGAGATTATTCAAGGAACAACAACGAAGAGGCCGGTTCTATATTTCAAGAGCCAAATACATGCTGCGTTGGCAACTCCAGCTCCACAAACCCCGACAACTTTGAGGACATTTCTGCCGAGTACATTCCCCATCGGTAAAAAGTGCAATACTCCCTGAATACCTAGCATCTGTACATACAATACATCTCATATTTACATAACCCAATCATTCCTCATATGTACACAAAACCTTACTTGATCCTTGTTCAAATTTGTTTCTAAGTTGTGCAAATGGGGTCACAGCACAACTGGTAAAGCAAAAGCTAAAAATGTCCAAAAAGCAGCAGCAGGGGTTCCATTTACTCAATCTTCCCATCAGCTTCCCTGATTTTTTTTTCTCGACTAGGTATTATCGAGCTAAGCAACCCCCTTCCACATTGGCAAAATGCTCGAATAAGTAGCATGAATCTCTTGACAAAATTGCACAGACTGCAGTTGCCAACACAACATCAAAAAGGCTTCATAAAAATAAGAACCAAAAGGTTCTGTATTATGATTAGGACGACAATAGGCTAAAAGCGATACGTTTCTTCTCCCGTGGATAGTTACACTGAACATCAAGGACTTCACATCGGCTCATCTTGTGTCACGCGGCTGTTGAACTGGATTGTCTCCCTGAAGATCAGCTCCTTCAATCGCTCTTTCGGTAAATCGTCGAACTCAGTTTCAAAGGTGAATGGCTGCTCTGCTACTGGCTGCACAACGAAACATACACGAAAGGTTCACTCGAACCCCTCTTCGATGCTCATGCTCAACATTTTCCATTCTTTTTTTTTTTGTTGAAAAGGTGAGAAAGGTCGCTCGCGATACTCAATTGGAAGCGGTGATGGGGCGCGGTAAAACTACAAGTGCTAAATGAATCAACGGTGTACTTCCTTCAGCGAAATTTAGGAGACCAGAAAACTTTGTTGCAGATAACCTCCATAATACCGGTAAGCATCCAGATGGAATCAACAAAAACTTTCGGTGTACAAAGAAAATCATTGTGGAGAGAGAGTACCTGCACTAGTCATGACAAATGCCACAAAATATGTACTGAATACTACAGTAAAATTTCGTTAAACAAATACCGGACTGTCATCTGTACAACAAATTCTTCAGTATAACAAGCTTCAACGATCTCATTTTTAAAAATTCCAGCATAACGAGCTTTTTTGAGTCATGCTCCATAGATTCACCAGGTAAACATTTCCTGACTAAGGCAGGCACAGTCTGAAATTTCCAATCCCAAATCTAACTGACTGGTTCTTGTAGTATGGATGGAAATTGTAATCAAAGACAAACAGGCTTCAAAGTGATTCCACACAACATCCTCCCAGAGAGAAGACATTGGTACAATGGAAGATGGAACGCATGATTGAAGCTGATTCATTTCCAAAGACCGCTCAGTCTTTCGAAAAATAATAGAACATCAAAATACTGTATTCCAGAAAAGCAAGATTTACTTGATTATAGGCAGGTCTGACAAGAGATTGTTTCCCTTCATCAACTTGAAAAATCTCTTTCTAACAAATCATTCGGTACGATTAACTTTTCCTGAAACCTTCCGAAGTTTGTTCCGACGAGATTTTACCGCATAACATATTCACTAGTAATGCCTATAAAAATTTTCGAACACTGGAATAATCGCTCCACCAGAAAGAACCCTGATTAATATCACCACAAGTCACTTCTCCTCACCAGCTCGATCATCATTTAAGGCGTAACAAGTTAGAAGCTGTAATTCAATCATGAAGGAGCAAAAGTTAGAAAAATCAGTGCTCAAGCCAAGAAATCCGGATCAATATACTGTAATGTAATTCTGAAATTTTCAAGTCATACTAAGACTCCTTGGATCCCAACATAGAACATATGAGGGTTGTTCCACTTCTTATTGATCTTCAAGAAATGCTCTCGAGATGTCAAGATATCGAATGACAAAACAATAACTCACCTCATCAGCAGGGTCGTAATACTGCTCCAGGTATGGATGCGCGAGCGCATCTTCAACACTAATCCGCTTGTTTGGGTTGAATGTCAACATTTTGTCCAGCAAATCCAAGGCTTTTGCATCAGCAGCTGGGAAAAGCCGGCTCCAAGGAATTTTCGGCTTCATTGGCAAACTTTCCAAGTAACTCCTCGCCTGAAATCCACAAAGCACAATTTTTAGCTTCGTGTCGGAGTCAGGCAGACTTCTACAGGAGCAACAGCTGAATGCTTAGACAGAAATACAACAATGTATCTGAATCACATCACCTCTCCCCATATCGTGGAAGGAAATTAAGGTGAACATGCCACGCATTTTCCACGGGTACGCTGCTTGATCAAGGTAGACACACACAACGAACAGCGGCTTTCCATCAAAAGACACTTGACGATGAATGCTCTTCGCCAGATTTAGATCTCTCTACTTAGGATAAACCTACAACTGTTCGCATTTTACATAAAACTGTCGCGATCAGTACATAACTTTTCATAACGTGAATCGAAGAACAAAACAGTTTCGCGAGGTCGTCACATTGGATACCAGTGTCTGCACTACCTAAAGGTTCACGCAATGGTCATCAGGCAACCCCTTCTGCTACAGGAAATTTCATTTCAGAAATTGCAGAAACCCTCGGTCTAAGGAAACTGCAGTTCACAACTTCCTTTTTCCAGTCTCTCTCCAAGTGCTTGGAGATTCTGTCAAAAGTATCCGTTTCGTGTCACACCGCTAAGTTCAAGTTACTGATCAAACTGCGACATATCGGAAAAAATGTAAGTAAATCCTTCCAAGAGAGAGGAATAAACTACGCGAACCCGTAGAATTACAAAACGTTTCATGGGTACGTTACATCACAAATAGACTAGATGACATCACTGGAACGAAACTGCATAAGTTAAATACGAACACTTCGGAAAGTTTATATCTAAGAGCCTCACACAGAAGTTTGCCGAAGGTTCTAAACTAACTATTTCTCAAAGCTAAAACGAAGGATTGAATAAATCGGGAGAATAAACTTGGCTCAGTGCGATTTTTTCATGGAGATGAACCTTGTCATTGATGATGCAGTCTAGGTCTTCCCTCGAAGGTGACCCAAGGACTCCAAGGATGTGGTTCAGCTGGTCTAAGTAGTGCTTTCCTGGAAACAACGGCCGGTTGCTCAACATCTCTGCTAGAATGCAGCCCACAGACCACACGTCGATCGACTTCGTGTACCCCTGCAACTCAAAAAAAAAGTTAATCGCGGAAGTGCCAGATTTTGAATATCAAGTCGAAGAATACCAGTAGTCACAAGCTCGTGCACACCTTCCCAGCCCATAGTCTACAAACCAGAAAACGATCTCACCTTCGAATTAAGCATGATCTCCGGAGCGCGGTACCAACGCGTCGCGACGTATTCGGTCAAAAAACCTGTGTGGTCGTGTTCCGGATCAGCCACGCGAGCCAAACCAAAATCACAAATCTGGCAACGGGAGGACATCATGATCTCGCAAAGATGGGAAGAATACGACTTATTACCTTCAAATCACAGGATGTGTTCAGGAGGAGGTTCGACGGTTTCAGATCCCGATGCAGGACGTTAGCCGAATGGATGTACTTCAACCCGCGGAGAATCTGGTACAGAAAGTAGCAGATGTGATCGTTGCTCAGCTTCTGGTTCTTCAGCAGCTTGTACAAATCGGTCTCCATCAGACACTGTACTATGTACACATCTTTCATCTCATCCAGTGTTGGCGACCGCAGGATATCTTGGATGTCAATAATCTGAACAAAACAAATCATGAAACACTCATCCATGATTACATTACAAAGATATCACTCACGTTTTCATGCCGGAAATGCGTCAGAATTTTTATCTCTCGCAATGTACGCTGGCAGTAAGTTTGGTGCTCGAACGGGGAAATTTTCTTGATGGCGACCTTATTCTTCGTGACGTGATCTGTCGCCGAACTGCATCAAGATAAAAATGAGTTTCACCGTAAGCCAGAACACAAAGAAATGACTCACACGACCATCCCGTACGCTCCTTCACCGATGTAAGCCAAATGAGAATATCTCGGGCCTACCTCGAAGACCTGCCCCTTAACGACTTCCGCGCCGCATTTGTCATTCGCCGCCATTCTATTTCACAAGAAAAATGGCAAATAAGAATACCACACCAAGAAACCAAGATTTGAGCAGAATTGCTTCGTTCTTGGCCCCCGAAGAACTCCACACAAGGATCTCACGATAAACAGGCTGGGAACGCTAAAAATACTCGCCGAACCCCACATTCCGCAACGAAGAGCCCCGAGGATAATACAACGCACCGAATAGCCACTAACGGAAAGCCGGAGACATCAATCGACGAAAAATATCTCGAGAGACTCGTAAAATGTGAAGTACTCGATACAGAATACTCGAACCGTCAGTCGTCGGATGGGGGAGCAGAGAACAGTAACGACAACATCATTCACCGTTGAGTTGTTCTAACGAATGAATTCATCGCCCTCAATCTGTCAGAAGATGCCCTCAATCTCAAAATCATCACCATGCACATCAAGTGCACAGAGCACCACCCTCCTTCGAGGAATCAACCTTCTCTTACCACGAAACTCCCACGACTGGAGGAATCCCGAGATACTAGAAGAAGCGTTCATCGTCGGCGCCATTTTCATTTCGATCAAACTGTACCCTAACCACAAGGTATTGGAGCTGGAAGAAGTGCACCTGCAGTTGTCAGTCCAGATGCTGCAGTATATACTGCTCTCCCCAAATAATAAACATATCAGTAAGTACAGCTAGTAACCAATATCAATTCGATAATTTTCACCATTCCAGCAAAGTAAAGTGTCGTGCAGGACGTTCGTCTAGTCAGTCACAGTTTCCCCTATAAAAGAAGAAATTATTTAAGAAGGAGAAAAAGGGCAACCAATATGTAGATATACAGTGAAACAATACCAATGCAAGGTTTAGTTTGTATAAGTTGTGACTGTTCATTCTGGCTCTTATTTTAGACTCTGAGTTTGTTGTGTGGAGCATTCATTATACAGGTGAACCTTGCTAAGTCAAACCTCCCTAAGTCAAATACCTCCCTAACTTGAATTCTTTTCAACTCCTGTCTGGATTCCCATAGAAACAATGTATTAAAAACCCCCCTAACTCAAAATGTTTTTCTCTCAAACCTCTGTAAGTCAAATTTGCTAATGACTTTTGGTTATGATTTCCTTGAAATATGAAAGATAAAATCAACAAAATGAATTATTTCATGCATTTCAAAATAAAGTGAAGGACACTAATTATTGAACAAATGAACCGAACCCCTGCCTACAAGTTCAGCAAGCTTTAAACTCATTGAGAAGCAAGTTTAGGCCCAGAATATCCTCATCTAAAATTTCCCATTTTCCTTGGAGCAAACATATTTGTTTCCTTTACCCCAAATCTCAAAAAATGTAAACCTCCCTAAGTCAAAACCTCCCTAAGTTGAATTTTTTTCTGGTCCCTAGAAATTTGACTTAGAGAGGTTCACCTGTATTGATATACTGTATTTAGTACATTATATATATTAGTACTGTATATAACACAGCTGTAATATGCTTTTCTGTGCAGTTTGAGCAATTCTTCAGAATCTCAGTCATGTTCTCTCAGTTTTTCTGATGTGACCTTCAAGATCTCAACCTCCATAGTGAGCAAATGCCAAATTAAAAAAGCGGCATGGAAGCACTCATGTCCAACCCATATTTCATGACTGTCTGGATATGGGTGCTTTTTTTGAATATGGTCAATTTTGGCAATAGGACATGAATGGTGTACAAGTTACTGTATATATACACACATAGCACACCCATAATGTATCAATGTGCTGATACTGGTGTTTTTGGGCAAGCAAGGATGGAAGAAAATCCTCTGCTGCAGAATGAAATGCAGGAATGGGGGGAACGTGTGGTGCCAGGGAAACAATTCCCATGCCAATAAAAAAATGCAGGGGGCACTGAAAATGTTCCTTGTAAAACAGTGAGGTGTGGCCAGATCCAGGTTAAACCACATTTTTGCCTGATGCTGCACAAGAAATGGGCCTAATTCCCCTTTGCAAAAAGGAAATGTGAATTTTTCTGCACACAATAAAAATATAATATTTAGAGAACAAAGGATCTCTGCGGCTAGAATTCAATCACATGCACAGATATGGTAGAATTATATCACAAGGACTAGCAATACAATACATTTTCCTTTTAATGAATTTTTCTTGGTCCTGGCAGTTTCTTCATGTAAGGCACCATATGCTATAGAAATCTCATTTTAATGATATCATTTTTATGTAGGCTGTTATCTCATTAATGTTTAACACAATTTTGGGTCTGATTCTGTGCTCAGGCTATGGGAATCATTTCATAAGTGGCATGCAGAAGGAGTGAGAAAAACTGAAAAGGTGCGACATTCCAATTTCTTGAAAGACTAACAATTTTTGTGTAGAAGGGTAAATGTTCAAAAATGTGCAACATGACATATTTCTTGAAAATTCTTTAGCTAAATTTTAAATTGTACACCTTTCCATCAGATAATCAGCAGTATCCTACAAGATATGTTCCTCTATCTGAAGGAGTACACCAGTATGATCAAATAAGTTGATTCAGAAGGAAGTACAGAATTTTCACTAGTAAAAAGGCAGGTTTAATGAAATGCAATAACTATTTCTTACAAAAATTTTCTCTTTATTTCATCAAAATACTTACTAATCATGATAGGTCTTGATTTATTTGTTTTAGATGCAATCTAAAATAATGGCCACATTTTAAATGAATTCCAGTGTGAAATAATGTATGTTAAAACATTACCTCCAACATATTACCATATAAATGCTTCATATGATGTATTTGACCCAACACATAACTCAGGGCATTCAAGAGTTAATTTGAATAGTTTGGTTAATAATGGGCGAAACAATGTCAGTTGTTCCACTCATAGCACAAAAGCTTTACAAAATCCAAAATATGCATGATGATGAAGCATGTATATGTGTGTGAAACAGAGTTTCTCATCATACAGTAATTTCAACTGTAACTTGGATTAGATGTCAAAATTACATAAACTTATTCCATTTGTTAAAAAATCACCAAAAGTTAACCCATTGCTGGTGGCTAACTTGGGATATCTAGAAAATGTTGTGCTCTTGAGCACTCGAAAAAATTTTATTTCTGGATGAACTCTGAAGTGAGGAAAAAGTTCAATATTTTAATTTTGAGAGAGATTCAGAAATCTTCTGAAGTTTCTCAGTGACATCATGAAAAAAAAAACTTGCAGTGTTCCCATTAGAATGCAGCAGTGAGAGGCTCCACAAAAAAGCCAAGAGAAATAATATTCAGCAAATTGGAAATCTCTTGATTACTTCCAAAATGTTTGTCTAGACCAGTGGTGCCCAACTCAGAAGTGGCCAAGGGCCACATTGAAACAGTAGAACATTATGCAGGCCACAATGGAAAAAAGGCATGGGACATGTTATACAGTACATTGTGCAATTTTTACATTTCCAGATGGTTGAAACTAAATGCCTGTCATCAAGTTCAAGTAGTCAAGGACTTTGAAATAATATGTGGCATTTTCATCTAAAAACTTTTTTGCTTCATTTTTACCAATTTAGTTCAACGTGTACCTGCATTCCTGCATGACGGAATTTTTGTTGAGGCAATTATAGAAATTAATCTGCATAACTTAAAAAAAAGATTAACTGAAGTCCAAAAACAACAACAGAAAATTCTAAGTAATTTTAAGCATTGAAAAATAATTTTTCTGAAACAAAAATAAAGGCTAATGTTTCAGAAAGTGGTGAACTAATTTGGAGACAATTTGGTCTCTAATGGTTTCACAGAGTGTATAACAGTTCTTGAGAATTTTAATAATTGGTTTAATACAAATAATCATTGGTTCAACCTCCCAATTCATAAAATGTTCATGGCCTCTTTGGGATGATCAAAACCAAGACATGTGTCCAGTATCAAGTTTAGGTCAATGTCGGGGATTTTCATGAAGTTTTTGTTAATAACTGAGGCAGTTAAATTTACATCTGGATCCAAGACAAATTGAGACTGACAATTTGAGACAGGGTCAATTTGAGACAGAAACTGTTGGAGACATGGACAATTTGAGACATAAACTTTTGGAAACAGGGACAATGTGGGACGGAAATTTTTGGAGACAGGGACAATTCAAGACAGATACATTTCAAGGCACAGAGAACATGTGACATTTTGAGACAGACGTATTTTCATATTTACTCTCCAGTGTTTCTTCCTGAAATCTAAAATTGAAGGGGAAAAAAGAACAGCATGTCACTGCTTGGTCAAAAGGTATAGGGTATAGCATGAATGAACATCCCATGAGCCTAACCAAAGGTTTTTTGTGGTTTTGTAAAACCCAACTTTTGATTGTTTTCCTTCCTCTCTTTATCCATTGTAATACCTTGTAATACTATGCACTTGAAACACACCAGAACACAACAAATCTATAGCACACAAGTAATAGAGGGAATGTGTATAACTAGGCATATTTCAAATGCTGTATTCAAATTCAAAAGCATGAAATTCAAAAACATCTGCACATGAAATCAAGCAGAAGGCAAAAAGACAGAAAATCAAGTGTGATATAAAGAAATGTTGTTTACAGAGTTGGGGGGGGGGGGGGTTTGAGAAAAATCAGAAATTGTGGCGCAATTGGAATTTCCTCAGTATTCATAAAGAATCTGAAGAAAACCAGAAAATAGGCATGGAAGAAAAAATGTTAATTGGAAAGTTGCTTTGGAAGAGCCTCAAATTTCCCTTGTCTCAAAATGTCCATGTCTCCAATAGTCCCTATCTTTAAATCACCCAGTTTCAGATTTTCCTGCCTCAAATTAGCCCTGTATTAAATTTTCTGTCTCAATTAGTCCAGTCTTAAATTGTGTGTCTTAATTTGTCCATATCCCGTGACATTTGCCTTTTTACATGATGGTCTACATTTGTTGATGCCATTCCAAGATTTAAGCCACCATAAATCTTTGCCCTGTGAAGAGATGCAATTAAATTGAAAACAAAACAAAAAATGCTGGCATGGGATTTAAATTCCAAGTTAACAAAAACCCTGCCCTTGAATCTGAAAAACAGAACCACTGTCATCGCAAAGGAATGCATACTTTT